ATCTTCATTGATATAGTCCTGGCCTTTCTTCAATAAGACAAATCTGCATTTAGGATACCATCTAGCGTGTTCCTTCCAAGGTATGTCGCTAGATATCCAATTGCGAAGACCCTTACCGCAGTGGAAACAGCGAACATGATCACTCAGACCTACGTATATAATAACGGTAACTGTGTTTCTTTTGCAAAAGTATTTAATGCTTCTCTTGATAGAGTAAACGCAATCAATTCCAGAGATCTTAATAAGCTGATGTTGTTATCAATATTTAACACCTGTAATGAATCTACTATTACCGATACACGTAAACGCATATATATATATATATAAAACGTTATACCACAGTAGAAAAATCCAGCTTCGGCAAGATCTTGTGCACGCAGACCGAGGATGGGCCATTCTTCGACATAGCTCTTCAATCGGCTATCGAGTGTCGTGAAATCACTTCGCATCGGTCTAGAATGCTGGTAGAGACCAGTTTCGTCCGGAGATCCTCCTGTGAGACGAAGCGATAGCAGGGAATAAATCTGGACTGAGCTCACGGGTAAAGAGTTATGTACAGTGTTCATAAATACTAATCAGCGATAAAAGATACCAAACTACTCACTGCATTCGGGATACGATCCGGCCATATGTCTTGACGAAAATCTGCAAGCGTCGGCCTCAACACGTCTTGATCCGCAATCGTCCAGACTCGGATGCAGTACCGGTAACCTGGCTAAGATGTTGCCTTGAACAATGGGAACATTTCCAGTTGGCTGACCCCTAATAAAGGGACAATGGGGAAAATGGCGTTGATGTTCTCCTCTTGGCGTGTCAGTTTTTTCCCAGGCTCCAACTATCCCCCTGCAGAAGATACACGCACAGTGATCATCTTTCCTGAGATAATAAAATCCGTCGGCCGCCAATTCTGACGGTTTCAGCCATTCATGAGGCCAGTCGATGAAGGTTCCCAATCGCTTTTCTTCGTATCTCAGACAATCGTAGCCGACAAACGGCATGTCCCTGTACACTATAGTGGTATCGATGGGAGATATCTCATGTTCGCTGAACGTGGTTAACCGATACTCTTCCTGCTGCAGAAAACTGTTAGGATGTGATATATCCATCGTCTTCGGTTACATTGATCTGGCACTGGCTATGAGAACATTTCTTATGGACGAATTAGATATATTCTCCCGATCTTCCGATTTAAAAAAAAATTACTTACACTACACTTAAAAGTACAGGAACCGGAGGAGGAGGAGAGAGTCGAGTCTAACTTTATATTATCGGTCGGTGTTTATATAGCTAGGCCGTGTTTCTAAATACGTATTCCAGTTTTTAAGATGTGTCCACTTTTAAAAGAGGACGCACTTTAAAAACTGGACATGTTTTAAAAGTGGACATGTTTTAAAACTGGACATGTTTTAAAACTGGACATGTTTTAAAACTGGACATGTTTTAAAAGTGGACACACTTTACAAACTGGATATGTTTTAAAAGTGGACATTTCTTAAAAGTGGACATGTTTTAAAAGTGGACACACCTTAAAAACTGGACATGTCTTAAAACTGGACATGTTTTAAAACTGGACACCTTAAAAACTGGACACACCTTAAAAGCTGGACATGTCTTAAAAGTGGACATGTTTTAAAAGTGGACACACCTTAAAAACTGGACACACCTTAAAAACTGGACACACCTTAAAAGCTGGACATGTCTTAAAAGTGGACATGTTTTAAAAGTGGACACACCTTAAAAACTGGACATGTCTTAAAAGTGGACATGTTTTAAAAGTGGACACACTTTATAAACTGGACATGTCTTAAAAGTGGACATGTCTTAAAAGTGGACATGTCTTAAAAGTGGACATGTCTTAAAAGTGGACATGTCTTGAAAGTGGACATGTCTTAAAAGTGGACATGTCTTGAAAGTGGACATGTCTTAAAAGAGAATACGCCTTAGCTGTGTCCACTTTTAAAACATATCCAGTTTGTAAGGTGTGTCCTCTTTTAAAATATGTCCACTTTTAAGACATGTCCATATTTTAAAACGTCCATATTTTGAAACGTGTCCATTTTTTCAGACATATCCAACTCTCAAAGTAAGTTTAAACGGTCACGTTCCGTGATTATGATAAACACGACTCGATAAAGACGAATCGTAAGAATAGAATATGTATTGCTGTAGATTCAAGGATCGTGGTCAATTTATCGGTTCGATGGGGCAACAGACAAATTCTGATATACTATAATGTGATTTTATACAGTACGCATACACACACACAAAACTATATAAACGCGTGTATCGTGCAGCTACATCATAAATCGAACATCAGTCTACACTACACGATTCGTAGAGCAAAATGTCTGATCCAGGGAACATTGACAATGCGACTGAAGTTGATCGTGATCTTACCCGTATGTGCGAGGAGACACATCGAACAAACACATATGGGGATTGTGATCAATATGTTCACCATCCAAAAATAATGGCAAAAGCCGGTTTCTATGAACTAGATAAGAGACTGATTTGCTTCAGATGTGGTTTAAGCATCGATATCGATGATATTGGAAAAACCGATGACATCGTGGAAGTTCACCAGACAAAGAGCCCGAGTTGTGTATTCGCACGGAATTTATCCTCACTTCCGAGATCGAGACTAGTTGTTGCATCTGATTTAAGATACGAAGCGAAAAGACTAGAAACTTTTATAGACTGGCCGGTAGGCGAAGTAATAGAAGCAAGGGATCTTGCCGCCGCTGGCTTTTTTTATTCGAGGAGGAACTTTGAGTGCATATGTTTCTGTTGCAAGGCACGCGTATCGTTTAAGCCGTGTACACGGTACGGTTGCTGTGCTCGACACGCTTCTATGTCTCAATATATAACAGAAAAACATTTAACTAGCGCCTACTGTGATTTTGCAATGAGAAAGGTAACCGGTAATGTACCTATTCGTATAGATAAGATTATACGTAAGATCATCGGTCATCAAGAAACAGATAACGAAAAAAACAGCTGCGGTGACAACGAAGGAAGAAGCCGTGAAGCTAGTGGCGAAGAAGACGGTGGAGATTCACGCGAGTCGGAAAATGACAGTTCCTCGAGAATCAGTGTTGGTGACATGTTGTCGGAGATGGGCATCGAATCGTATTCTGGACCAGAGCACGAAAATTTGGCAACGCCAAGAAGTCGCAAATACACCTATGGCGATTGGCCTCTGGGAGATATAATGCGCCCCAAAAGATTGATAGCTGCTGGATTCTTTTATTCGGGTAAACCTCTTTAGACAAATTAGACAGTCGTGAAGCTTAGTAAATATATAACTTTTATCTTCGGATCGAAGCATCACTATCGATACCAATCTTCCGTTTTCAGGGTACGGTGACCACGTAATTTGTTTCCACTGCGGTGTCGGTATCCGCAATTGGGAAAAGGGTGATGACCCATGGACACAACACGCTATGTGGAATCCCGAGTGTCGTTATGTTCGAACCTTAATGGGACAAACGTTTATCGATACGGTAAGATATTGTGTGCTCCAGATATTCTAACATGTTCTTTCCAGCTTGCAATAATGCGGTTATATATATATATACGAGATGCGTATTTTCGATATGCGTCATTTGATCGTAGAGTGTTAATATTGATCGATCTTTTACTTTCAAGGCGAAGATGGTCAAGAGTGCGCTTTTTAGAAAACCTACTCTTGAGAGAACTTATTCTGTAACGGACGAAGATTGGAATGCTGTTATGGGTCTGGATATCACCAAAGATTTGCTGATGTCACTCTTTCCAGTTGCTGCCGTCAGAGATTGTATTCGAGAACGGATTCTAGTTCATAAAATCCCATTTATTACCAAACAGGAAGGTCTTTATTACGCGAGAGAGAAAATCGTAGCATACGGTAATATGGATATAACCTTAGCAAAAAAGATCAGCCGTATGAGCACGGAATATATTCAAAATTACCATGCGGTATATTCTGTGATGTATTTTTTGATGGACCTTAAGAGAATATTCATCGTGAATCAAGATGTAGATCGGAACGGCTCTATTGATTTATTCAAACCGGATCAGTCATTATTTCTGTTCAGACAACCTTCATATAACCCTGTCGCAACGCCGATGTATCAATATCGATTATCGTTCACTATTCCGCATCCATCTCATAATAGCGATTTTAGATTTCAGCAGGAATATCGTCTAGCGTTAGAGCAGCTTAATAGAGGGCTACCTGTTCATGTCACGAGTTTATATTTCGGTGAGAGGGATAGCATCTCTCTCTTTGATATATGGAATCACTTGATTCGGCTTTCTATAGTAATCGCAAACAACAATAGGAATAGTGGCAGCAGTATTAATAGTAGTAGTAATAATAATAACAATAATAATAACAATAATAATAATAATAATAACAATAATAATAATAGTAATAATAATGATGATGATGATTATGATGATGATGATAAAGATCCCCATGATGTATTCAGTGTGATTAGGAAACACCACCAACGCCAGGAAGATGAAGAGAGAAATTCTGAAATAAGAGGTAAGATCGTACGTTGTAATGTAAAATATCTGTTTTTGGAAATAAAATAATTTATACATATCTTTATATATATGTTATATTCTGTACATATAACTTTCCTTATTTACAGAGGCCCCTGACAGTGTGACTGGCGATCGATACTTATGCAAGATTTGTATGAACTCTTGCGTAAGGACGGTCACTCTCCCCTGTCGTCATATGTCATGTTGTGGTAATTGTATAGTAACTCAAACGAGGTGTCCTATTTGTAGAAAGAAGATTAAATATACTCTCGAACCCTATTTGTAAAAAAAAGAAAGATCACGCAATGTCACTATACGATAATATAAAGATTGTGGTACGTATACACGAGAATAACGATACGGAGAGAAAAATAACATATTGTAACTGAGAATACCACTATCGTTTTATCTATAATATTCTATTGTAAACGTGTAGTTTCCTTGTAATCGATTAGGTGTACGATTTATAATTCGAATATAAAACAGTTCTAGGTGTATAAATGCGTATATATTTCTTTTCAACCTTGCCTATAAACGGTCATATGACCTGACGTTATGTCTGTTCACTATACTGTCATGTCGCAAGATATTCCATTACACATCGACGATCAATATCAATATCATGTCGATTTTAGTGGTATGACAAGCGAACATAATCGCAGAATGACATTTGGACACGAGTTGTCCTCATATGTTATTAGCCCAAAGATACTCGCAAAGGCTGGTTTTATGAGATGCGGTCTATCGTCTAAACAATACATAGTCTGTGTTGACTGTCATCTATATATCGACATAGACACCATCATGCCATGGGACGATATTGTGAAGATCCATAAGGATAAGAATCCGCTTTGTCTCCTCGCACGAAATCTACCTCCTCTTCCAAGATCAAAGATCTTTGAAAATCGTTTCGATCCAGCGACTGGGTTACCGGCCGATTTAAGATACGAAATAAAGAGATTAGAAACATTCATAGATTGGCCAAACAAAGTGGTACAAGCAAAAGACTTGGCCGCTGCTGGATTTTTCTACACGAGAGACACAACCCGCTGCATCTGTTTTAGCTGTCACGAATACATGAATTTTTCTTACGATAAACCTATCGTTATAAGAGATGTGCATTTAAAGAAAAGTCCTAACTGTAAGTTTGCACAGGGTAAGCCAGTAGGCGATGTACCCATACGCATGAGTAATATTCTCAGTAGTATTGTAAATCAGACGAGAGTTGCAGTAACATCAGCAACAGCTACAGCAACAGCAACAGCGACAGCGACAGTCGACCAGGAAGATTTGATAAAGACTCGATACGAATACGCCGGTCCGTTGCACGATTATTATAAAACGACCCAATCGCGGCTGGAGAGCTTTTTAAGTTGGCCTCGTCGTCATCGTCAAAAAATAGAGGCGTTAGTAGAGGCCGGATTCTATCATCTTGGTAAGTTCAAACATATCGCCTCCGTTACTGTTCATGAGCCTTAGATGACACATATTGGTATAATAGGGTCGTTTATATTAACATAGACAAATCATCATTCGGTTTTAGGGATTAGCGATCACGTTCAATGCTTTCACT